CCAGGCTTTGCCTGGGGCAAAAATCTCTGTCTACAACGTAGTTTTGAAATGTTTTGCAATTTTCGAAAAAAAATCGAGTTTGCCGAAAATGGGACTAGCACCATATTGTTAACCGTCTCTTACTACATTTGAGAAGAAAATTTAAAAAAGGATTGTAGTGGTTTTTGAGAAAAAATCTTCAAAACAAAGTATTAACTTGCCTCTATTCCGAACAAAATTACACCAAAACTACTCATATTTTCGAAAAATTGAACATGACTTTACTGCAAGATCCGTCTTTAAGGAATAGATTTCATTCAGGAAAAAAATATATATCTTCAATATTGTAGTAGTGAGAAGAAGCCCAAAAATATTTCACTATTGCAATTTTCAAAAAATGGTGTTTTATATGAATATGAAACCTGTACCACTCTAATCAATATCGACCAATCTGATGACTAAATTTAATTGGACGCATATTTTTGAAAATTTTGAAAAATTAAAATTAAAATACAGGTTTCAAATTCAAGAACCATGACCTTCGTAATGTATACAATTACCTTTGTACACAAGTTCCTTTGTAAGGGCGAGCAGTAGTTAACAATAGCAAGCATTTATAAATAATTTCTAGTAGTTAAGGGACCGCCCGTGAATCCTCCTCGGTAATAAGTTAATATTACAAAACTTTAAAAATCATAACAGAATACTATCAATTGTGATGGTTTGTCACAAATATAATTAAATGGGAATAATAAACCTACGAAATTATAAAAATGGACGACAGCAAAAATGAGGGGATTGAAAAGAAACCGAGGTGAGCTTTATTTTGGAAACAATACAAGGAAAGGCGAACAGAACTGATACTGGGGAAAAATGCATAAGATGTTAATAAGTGTGAAAGGACACGTGAGCAAATTCCGTAGGCAGAAAATAAAATAAGAAGTTATTACGAGCAGGAAACCAAAGAATAAACTGATACTATGTCAAATATGCGTGACCAATCACGAGTGAGATCGTGTGAGATGAAAGACAGATGAAGAGCTCGCGAGATGAAAAAACGGGGCAGTCGAGGTGCTGACACTGTGTGAGTCAAATGTAAAAGGGAAAGGTATTTGCTTGCGGGAAGAATTAGACTGCATTACGAGTTAGTAAAGGTGATGTTTTACAGTAGTAAATGTATAATTAGAGAGGAAATATAATTACGTGTCTGTAGGACGCGAACATTATTGGAGTGAATCGAATTCTTTGGAAATGAAGGCTGATTGGAAATTGAATGACGTTCACGTTTGCAGTGGATCTCCGAAGGGAAAGTATCAAAACGAGGAATATTTATTTTTATTTTTATTTGCCAAGTTTTGTATTACAGTAAAATGTCTAAATTAATGATTATCATGACGAGGCGATCTTGGAATAACCTTCGGGCAACAGTCGTGTGAAATGTGAAATAAAAATGTAAAATGAAATAATAAATTCAGGAGAATAATAATTCAATAAAAAAGTACCAGGAACGGTCTCAAATTAGACAATAAATGTAAAAAATAATATATTATGTCACAAACATCTCACAAGTACCTCCTAAAAACATTTCCAATGCTGTTTGTTGCTCTTGTTTTGTTTTTGTTTTTTTGTTTTTTGAAAGTTCAAAGTTCACGTAAGAAACAACGTAGTGAATAAAAGTCCAAAGAAGCAGCAGACACTCACGCCTCCCCCTCCAGTCACCTTTCCTCCCTTCGCTATTCGGGGTCTCCACGTCGCCTCGCGCCAATTGCCACTCCTCCAAAGGGAAGCGATAGATTATTACGTCCCGCTCTGCAAAGACGGCTATTGGCAGGGGATTGGAGAAGTCGCTTTTGTAAGCCGACGCCATTCTTTCCGAGCAACAAAGACGACCCTTAATTAAGGGAAGCGGCGATGACCCTGCGCAGAGGTAGTACATCCGCGGCCCTTCTTTCAGACATCACCGAGGAACATCGACCCTTCGACAAGGCCTTTGACCTGACGGAGGACGCATCCGTTACTTTCCTCTCAAGTCGTTATTTTTTATTCTTCTTTTTCCTCCCCAGCATTCCTTCTCCATTGTAAGTTTTTTACCCTACAGTGTAAACTGAAAAAGCGACCACCTTGATTATTCTGTCACCTCAATTAACGGCATTTTTGTGAAACCGATTTATTTTTCCATAAAACACGTTAGAATCTACCCTCATTGAAACCTGCAGTTAGCGGACAGACACAATGCATACATTAAGCCCGTTTTACACGTCATTTATTCATAATTTTTCATGGGTACAGAAAAGTGACGGACCGGAAAGGATGTAATGGGTACCGAAATATAACCTATGTTTCTTTCCTCGAAGCAGAGATCATCCAGTTTCACTACCCCGCTCCTGGCGTCACCTCCCGGAACTGTTTCTTGTGCTTTCTGATGCTTGTGGTGTGATTTGTTCCTTTTCTGCAGTTTCGAGAGCGTTCTATTGTGTTGAATTGTCCTGAGAAGTAATAAGTGTCGTGAAAAATAAAACATGTACTGTTTTCTAAAGTCGTCTCATTGCGTGTTCAGTCGTAAAATAATTGAACTTAATTTATTATCATAGTTCAATTGTTTAATCTTTAGTGCTTTTTGCGGCGTCCAGAAAAAAATGTTTTCATCACGCATTCGTGCAGAAAACTAAATAGCCGAGTAAAACGTACATATACTTTCGATCCCAAAACAATAATGCGTTATAACGAACGTCCCTTTTCCATCCATTTTATGTTCAGAACAATGATGAAAAATGACCATTTAAACGGGCTTTAGAGCTTCACAACATCGTAACAAAATCATTTTAATACGTAACACTATAAAAAGCGGCTGGTACTTGCATATTTACTGTATATACAGAATATAACCGATTCCAATTTTACCTTTAAATGCTTTCCTCACTTTATAGGCCAAAAGACGTTACAAAAAACATAGCTCTAGATATTCAATTTTACAAAGTACATTAAATGCCGCCCACGCATAAAAATTTCAGTTTTAATTATATTATTTGTTTTATAAATTATTATGTAAAACATTTACGATTAGTACAGTCAACTGTTTCGACCTCGGGAGTCATAGAATTGTAGGCAGTACGTTGACATTAAGACTGTAGATTCAAGACCGATATAAGATCTGAATGTTTGCAGTTGTGTTTTACGCGTGTGGTGAATTCTGAGTCCCTCTCCCTTCCATAATATTTGTTTGGAAACTGTTTTTCTTTTTTTATTTGACGAACTGAATCTCTCACTCCGAACAGTGATACAATCGAGGTGGATCAAGAAATGTGTACTATGTATTTTACATTTTGTATCGACTGCCGGCTAGTTAACGGTGTTCCCCATGCCTCGGCCTAGTTGATTTCCGTGTTTGGGGGGAGGGTAAGAGAGACATGCGGCGAACAAGACATAATCTCACCGTAACTACCAGACTGCGTCAGCCTGAGCTTTCCTTCGTCGCACAGCAATATAAACTGACACTCTTTTAAAGAATGTTACATCTCTGTTTTTGCCTCGAACAGGAATATAACGCGGGATCATCTCACGGGTAGCTGGTACGCCGCCATTGAGCCGTCCTAGAGGCGAGTCAAGAATTACTATTGGCAATTATGAAAAAGTACTGGACGGAGATAGTTCACCGAGATGCTCGGTATGCGCGAAGGTACTATACACCCCAGAGTAAGTACCGGTGATAGTCTTTTGGACTAAGAATAACTTGTACGAGAAAGTATGTGCCATTCTTCATCACCACTAGTTACTTACGTACTATATACAGGATAATATTCGTAGTATACAGAAAGGTACTTAATGCGGCAGGAAATGGATTAAAAAATTTTAACGTTTTGGGATCCACTAACCCAGAAAAAACCTTTGTTTCTTCTTCAAAACATTCTCCGTCTCCCCGTCTGACGGTCTCTCACGGTCTTTATGTTGGGGAACAACATAAGCACCTAAAATATTCGTAGTATTTTAGCCAAAATACCCTTTTCGATCTTGCCTCATACAAAGCCCACCAATTTTGAATAGAATTATTGGAATTTTTGGAGTACCTACTTCACATGAAGCGCCAGGGAGATTTTTAATTTTTTTTTCGAAAATGACTTCATTTAATTTTATATTTCTTGAAAGAATAGAGTAAAAATCACTAATAAAGATGGATACGAGAAACAGGGACAAGGGGAAGCTGAGTGTAAGTACGTGAACACTAAGGTTGTGGATTCCAAAATCCGTGTTTGACTGACGCAGGCCTGTGCAATGTGCGGAGAGTGTGGCAACGTCCCCAGAGGAGTAGAAGTCACCGTGATAAGCTCTGGAAGATCATTTAAGTAGAAGGGAGAGGGTGTGGCAAAACCAAACAGGAATCCCAGCTTGAAGAGAAGAGTAAACTATGTAGTACGAGAGTTTATGAGCCATTCCGAAGCACTAGTTCTGTTTTGGGTAAGTTTAGCATTTTTATCTCGGTAAACATTCTTTGAAGAATCAGTCCTAAAATATAGTTTGATCCTCCAAATTCGCTCTTTAGAGGCCGGTAGATGTAAATATTTTTATAGTAAATATTTTCATTTCATTCAAAAGAATAAACCAGACATAACATCGTCTGTTGCAATAAAGATGAGAATATCAAACTACAAGGGTTGAATATCGTGTTCTTCTTCTGAAGCAGCACGCAATACACGCTGAACAATTCTTTGAAAACATTGATATCTGATGCACTAGAAGGTAAACAAAGCTGACTGCGGGCGGTTCCATACCCTGGAAATGTGGAGGACTAGCGGGTGAATCAGTCATAGGAAATCGCTGCCGTCGGCGTGACGTCACAAGTCAACGTCACGACTGTTCGCCCTTGATGCACTAGCAAACCACGTGACGCAAGGAAGCGACCGGCTAGACGGCCGCATTGCTGTTCGGTGTAGTGCGTCGATGACGTTGCTTGCAAGTGTTGCCCAAGGTGCTGCCAAGGGGGAAGTTTGCAACGGCCGTTAGCGTTCTTGCGATTCAGGTGATAGATGCAGTGCCTGATGAGTAATATGGCGGCAGTCTTCCTGCCATGGCTGTTCCTCGTGCAGCAACTGCCGCCTCAAGTGGCCTCTCGGGGTTCGTCGCCCGGGGGCATCGAGGTCTCCAAGGACTGGCCGCACTCCGCCGAGCAGGTGAGAGGACTGCTGTTTCTATTGCACGCAGCGGACGTGGCTCGGTTTGGCTGAACGAGGCCGTTGTAAGAGTGTGCTCTGAACTGTGTTAGGGCCGGTGTCGTTAACAAATTCGGAATCGTTAATTTCGGTAATATTTTTCTTACGAATGCTAATGCATTCATAGCATTAAAATTATGACAACAAAATTAACAGATCTGTTCAAATCAAGAAAAAATGTGAGGGATACGTTTTTCAAGCCCACGCTTAGGTGAATGAAGATAAGTAATGCCAAGAATGTAACCTTAACAATTAACATATAGAAAACTGAAAACATCTAGAAAACAGGATTTTTTACTGAAACTGCAAAACAGAATGCATAAGAGTGTAGAAATACTGATAGAAGTGCCATAAAAATTAGGAGAAATATAGAGATGTAATACTCCTGTGTAATAACTACGAAGAGTATACGTCGTTTGGAGCCGCCGAGGTTCAAAATAAAAGTAAACGTAGAAGTAATAATTGAGGAGAGGTTAATAACTTCCAGGAAGAGTGAGACATTCAATGCTGTTTAAAAACTTTAAACAAGGAAAACACGATACAATGACTGTTGCAGAATGAGACAACGAAAATACCTGAACGAGAAATTCTGAAGTATGTTGTGAAAATAACAATGTCAACTATGATAAAAGCTGTTATGCACAAAGAAAAGAAATACAAATATTTCGTAATCAGACAAAACATGATTGAAGCTGCCTCGACAAAAGTTTGGTCGATCTGCAAAAAATATGACAGGAACTGGCTAGAGCATAAATAGTTCGCGAAAATATATAATATAATAATGCTTCAATTGCTGAAATTATGATAAAATTAAACTTGGTAACAAAATATATATTACTGCATTTACTGTTTTATGTAGATACGCCTCTACGTTTGTTTAGCGGTTATTTTTACTTTCTCGCCTATTGCCTACGCAGTGTAAAGTACTACACCCGCACGTTTTCTTGAGCTCTGGAATGCCTATCGTCATGAGTTTACCAACATTTGGTGAATTAAGAATAAATGTTAGCGACGAGCGTCGTTCCCAAATCTCATTACTAGAAATGTTCGCTCCCGTTTAAAAGAAATTATTTTACATCGCAATATGAGCTACAGATTTGATGTAATAGACCTGTCGTCGAAATAATCAAATACCCACACCTCTCGCATCTAACGAATTGAGGGCTTGAGAAAACGTGCGCGGATAATATTGTAATGGGAAGAAACGGCGGCCTTTCGACACAAAATCTCTCATTGCCAGGCCCTGGTAACAAAAAAGTGGATTACTCTAGTTCCAATATCTAGTAAATTACTTCCTCTAATACGTTGAGTAGTCGGAAAGCGCGTTTAGTAGGTCATTGATACCGAAAAGTCGATTGATGGCAAAATGTCTCTTCGTATGCTCGTCTGTCTGTCTGACTGCGTGTGAACAATACAAGGTGATATCAGAAAGCATGATTTACACCGATACAGATATTCCCCTATCGATCTCACTGATATAGCGCCCCCTTGAATTAAAAATCGATATATCGATAGTTTTGGAGTTCTTCACGTTAAACCTCAATATTTTGTCAAAAACGGGCTTTATTGCAAATTTCTTAGCTATTTTTTTCTCTCCTAGAACCAAATATGCCAAAACAAATTGTGTAGGTTACATTTTCGCTTCACTTCCCGAATTTTCGAAGAATACAAACATTCAGTTTTGTTTCCTGTCCTTCGATTATAATAATGAAGATTTTTCTGTAAATTATTGAAATTTGTATTCTTGGAAAATGTATCTCACAAATTACTCATTTTTTAAGTTTATTATTTTAAAGAAAACATCTCCACAAAATAGTTAAGCTTTAGACGGTATTTCTCAGTTAAGTCACATTTCCGAATTCTGTTGTTCAGTCACAGCGAATAAATATGCTTAGTCATAATCCGTCAATAGACACAATACATAGATAAATGTCAAAAAATAAAGTGGAGTATTAAATTCTGACTTTAAGATAGTGGCACTTCAACGTCACAAACTGGAAGGAGAGGGAAACATTGTCGTCCAATCGGAAACTCCAATACTGAAAATTTAAGTCCTAATAAAGGTCCCGATTGGATGATAATGTCTTGCTCTCCCTCCAGCTCGTGGCCTTGAATTGTCACTGTAAATAGGAGAGTGTACTCGCTTGAAGGTTTGTAAGACTAGTAGCAAAACGTTTCTTTGTAAACCAATTCTCACAATTCTTACAGGACTCCTGGTTATTCGTAGACGATGACGAGGTCCAGAAGGCAGACTTGACGCTCGTCGACACCCTCGTGACCACGGAAGACGCCATGGACCACGCGTACTGGTACGCGCGCGTGCTGGGCGTGCAGCTGTCTGCGCGCGAGCTGGCGTGCGCGCGCAACGGCACGGTGCGGCTGGCGGGCGCGCAGGGCGGCGGCTGCGCGTGGCTGCTGGAGCAGGGCCCCTGCGCGCCCTCCGAGTGGCTGGTGCTGCAGGAGGGCGCGGCGCCCGTCTGCGCGCGCAGGCCCTGCGCGCCGGGCTACGGCCTGCTGGCGGGCGAGGCGCGCTGCGCGCCCACGCACCAGCTGTGCGCAGGCGACCGCCTCCTCGCCTTCCGCTACTCGCTGCGCGGGGAGGGCCGCTGCCACTGCAAGGGCTTCCGCGCCCTCGGCCCAGATGGACAGTGCCACGTGCTGTTCATGCAAGGCGCGTGCCCCGACGGAAAGGTAAACTGAAGAGGATCTTTCAGCCCATTCCCAAGCCTACATTTTTACTTGACGTGGGTCACGTGAGAGGGTAGGCATACTCCAATAGGGAGCTAAAACGTCACTACAGCTCCCGCTTTCACGGCTTCCTATTGGAGTTGGTCTTCCCTCTCTCTCTCTTTTTCGTGCGTGACATAGAAATGCTACATTGGAAAGAATCGAAGTATAGGTTTATAAAACGTCCCTTGACCGAGCGACGGAGCTCAAGCGGATGATAGAGCGCTGACTTCTCATTCGAAAGGCCTGGTTTCAATCCCCGTGCCGGCCATCCTGACTGAGGTTTTCGTAATTTCCCCTCGAGGCATCTAGGCGAATTGGTTCGCGGGTTTCTCTCTACAGGTATCTCTCCCAGCGGAGCACCAGCCTGGACAATCTATACGCTCCGGCTCTATCTCTCTGCATTTGGAGTAGTTTAGTACAAGTTTGTTTATGAGTTTGTGCGCGCGCGTGTAAGGCCAAAGGAAGAAACAAGGATAATAAAGATAAAAGGCTTATGGTCCCTTTGTTAAGTAACTTCTGCGACATTTGCCTTTAATTAGCAGAAGAAAAGCTACTGATCAAATTAGCCGGTCGACAGAATTCTCCTGCTGACAGTGGCTGAATTCGACTAGTTAAGTAGCTATTATCGACAATCGTCACCGCCTGAAAGATGTCTCATTCCGGCCACCAGCAGCCAAGTGAACGTATTTCTTGGGTTTAGATGTGCGAAAGTAGATACGTACTCATTGTGAGGTGGGGGTGTTTCGAAAAAAAATCGTGACCAGAGACTAGATATCTCCCGTGTCTCGAACCGTCATAGGTAATTCAGGGCATCAACTGATGTCACTGCAGTGCCTCTGACCGGGAGGATTCGAGTCCCGAAGGTAGCAGGATTTTCGACATTACCTACGTAACTAGGTCGAATTCAGCCCCTGTCTGGAGGAGGATTCTAGAAGTTGCTGCGCTGGTCGGTAGTTTTTCGTGGTTTCTCCGATCAACATCAGACGAATGACGGAGCTGTACCGCAACAAACGGACCACGGAAGGCGCGCGACCTTTCCTTCGTCTTCCTAGTTCTATCCTCACCCCTTACGTACACACACTTATACTCTGATGCAGTATACTACCACAAATTTCGGGAGACTCGTCGGAAGCTTGTCCTCGCTGGGGCTGTTGCCCGCTTGTGAGATTTATCTTGTTTGGAGAAAAGCCCGCTCGTCAACGTTTCATCGGGGAAAGATCACCGCGCCATCCCGTGATAAAAGTATGCTCTACACTTACGGGAACAATGACATATCTATTGACGAGCAAGAAATCCCAAAATAATGAATTATATGCACTATACTTACGGGAATATTGACCTTATCCTTTAGCGCGCAAGGAATGCCAAAATAATGAACGGCATGTACTAAACTTACGGGACTAATGACCTATCTTTTACGTGCAATGGATTTTTATAAAGCATGTTATGTACTACACTTACGGGACTAATGTCATTATTTGAAACGCAAGAAATACCAAAATAATGAATGGCATGCACTAAACTTACAGGACAAATAACCTTATACTTTGACGTGCAAGGAATCAAAAAATAAAGAATGGCATGCACCAAATTTCCGGGACTAATGAACTTAACGTTTGACGCGAAAGGAACCTCAAAATAATGAATGAAATGCAGAACGCCCTTACGGGACTAATGACCTTATCAGTTGTGGCGCGAGGAATCCCGAAATAGCCAATGGGCGTGTCCGGTGTGGCGCAGGTGCTGGTGCCGGCGCTGCGGCGCTCGGCGGGCGCGTGCGTGGCGACGTGCGAGCGCGCCGCGTGCGCCGACGGCGAGGTGCGCACGCAGGCGGCCGCGCCGCACGCCTCCGCCCACGCCCCCCGCTGCGAGGAGTTCGCCCAGCTCGATTGCGCCTCGCGCCTCGAGCCGCTCTTCACCGCAGACATCGACGTGCAGGTGAGTAATCAATTAAAACATGGCATATTCGATGCCATCTTGGCTCTTCGGAGATGAGCCCCGTCTCGCGTCAATTGTCCGACGTTTCGGCCATCTTTGCTGTGGCCCTTCTTCAGAAGTATACTGCTATAACTGCCTACGATCCCATAGATATTTCGATACATAACCAAAAGGTTTTCGATGTCAATGAATATATCGATGTTTTCATATTTTAATATTATAAAATATTATATATATATATATATATATATATATATATATATATATATATATATATATATATATATAATAAA